CAAATATGTGCTTGACTCACTCTAAATAAATTGATTTCCAATCCAAATATTTTACGAACACTAACCCATTCGATTTAGCCAACTGAACCCTTAGTTTTACCAAGCTTCTTCATTCTCTTGTTCGCAATCGGGAAAGAAGAAACAAAATACTTCCGCTATGGCGTCCCCCCTTGCGTGGAAATCTTTGCAAAATTTTGAAACTGCTTTCCAGTACTGTTGGACGTGTTCCTTCGCCTGGGACAAAACGAGCAAGAAATTCGTCGCCATAAAGTCACTGCATTTGCTGATTACCTTGATCATAGTCTTTTTCGTTGTCACCCCGATTGTTTGTGGCTTATGTATTGTCACCATTCTTCTAAATATTTACGGGACTATTTCACCCCCACTGACAAGCTTTTTTGTCTGTGTCATCATTACAATGTTAACATTTTTTTCCGTGACGGTTGAATTGGTCATGTTTCTCTATGTTGAGCAGTTTACGGCAGGCTGCAATCATTTAATACGGATTACAAGGCATGATAGCAAACATGGTATGCAGAACGATTTTTAAATTATATGTAAATTTATACATGACTCGTGTACTCCTTATTTCTTTGTATCCTTAATAAAATAGTTTACGAAAAAAGCAAGGGCTTAAGCTTCGAAAAAATCGTGCTACTTTCGATGACAAAATCTTGATACGCTTACAAAATCTCATAACCGTGGTAACTTATTTTACGATAGGAAAAATATAAAAAGGAATGCGAAGAAGTAATGAATACCCCACAGAGTTGAAGTATAAATGCTTAGACACACAGGGTGGGCATGGAGGCTGTTATGTTCATAGTTATTAAGATTGATATGCAAAAAATCACTCACAGACTCAATATTAAATTGGTTACCTTACGCAAAATTACACATATTCTTTTAATATTAACATAACAATTTGATTTTTTTTGCAGCATCACCACCCCGGAAAATTGATCCACTCGGACTCTTCCTGAACTTTAATGTTGCCCTGTTTTCGATATATGGTTATTTCTTGTCCCCATTTTTATACTACGTCGATTTAGATCCGGGCTATCTCTTTACAAGATATGTTCTCCACCTTGAAGTAACCACGTTATCATATCGCCTATTTACACACTCCTTACGCTTTCTCCAGGTTCTAGTAATATTTCAAGTTTCCCGCCATCTGCCCATTTTAATTTCCTCGTTATCATTGTTCATAACTATTTTACTTGATGCGATCTATAAATTGGAGTTGCGAGCAGTTTTAATCCGAAGTACGGCTGATTTACAGATTAGAAAACATCGAGAATTAGCCCTAATTCTGCAACTCGTTGGTGGCGTTGTCGCCCCGGCTACCGCCATAATGATGGGGCTGGGACTACTTATGAGCGTTGTGTACAATTTCGTAACAATTAGACTGTACAGCGTTATCCCGATGCCACTTTACCTCTATTTTCCATCCGTGTCTGTCCTGATTCCAGTAATTATTGAAGCTTTGCTACCATTTGGGATAAGATTGAATGAGAAGGCGGTTCAATTGAGGAACAAGTGGGACAGAGAGTTAGAGCGATGTGGGGATAGAAAGTACGTGAGGAGATTGTTGAGAGCCAGCAAACCGTTCTGTATTAATTGTGGGGTTGCTGGATATAACGTTTTGAAGCTTGTGAAAGGAACGAAAGTCTGGTTTTATGATCAGACCCTTAATTACACGATTTCAGCGTTGTTGTCAAACCCGAATCTGCCTATGTAGTAATCGAACCCGAGATAATCTTGTCCTGATTGTTACAGTCAATGGAAAAAGTATTGGCAACACCCACGCAAGCTAAATAAAATTGGTTATAACTTTGGCATGCGTTATCAAATTAGCGTGAAACTTTGAACACATTTGATAAATCTAATGTAGTGTTCGATTATAATCGTGTTTCCGATTTAAACCTAGTAAACATAACGCAATCCAAATTTTGACCCTAACTAGTCAGGTACGAACCTGCAAAAAGTATTGGCAACATGTGGCTAAATTAGTTACTCGACACAATTTTCTTAACCATCTTCCACATTTCGTTACGGTAAGGTAATTAAGTGACAAAATATAACGTTAGCGACATTTTAAGTCTACAGTTGTGTTGTCTGGAGCCAAAATGGCGGCACTAAACCAGCTGTATTTGGCGCGGCGAGAAATATTCATGCCTCTTCCATAAAAATGCTTTGTTATCGAAAAATCAAAGAGAAAACATACTTTTCCATATTCACTATTGAAAACGTAGCAAAGAAATATAAAATGACGATCTCAGTTTCTACTTTTCGACGATGCGGAGGAAAAAGGTCACCTACGCCCAAAATCTACTGATGAATCAAGCAACAAATCACTCGAGATCGGAAGATTTTAGCCCCCAAATCCATGTTGAATTGCAGTACTAACTGTGGGCAAACATATCATTCAATTTGGTGTTCACTAAAAAATTATGCCTTGGGGTTTCAGGCTCCAGAAGCCCGACCGACGAGAGAGTCCCCAAAGCGAACCACCTCAATAAATTGGGATGGGCTAAATATAAGCCTCAATTGACTTCCAATGAATGAAATAAAATCTACTGGTACGACATAGGCATATTTTACTTATTCGGAGCTCATTAATTGGTTCAAGTCTGGCGGATGCCATAAAAGGCTCAGAAATACGAAAACGTTCGTATGGCAGTTTAACACATAGGAGGATCGATTATGGTTTGGGGTTAAATGACTAGGTGGCGGCGTGTTTACCTGGTCATTATCGATAAAATCATGACCAGGGAGGTCTAATTAATCATTCCAAACGATAATTTGAAATTATTTGATAAAAACCTGATCTGGGGAGGAATTTTATATTCCAAAAATGCAGTGACCCAAAACAGCTACCCCAATTAAGGATGCAAGTTTTTGGAGACCGAAAAGGTTAAGCTTCTTTCGTTGGCTGCACAGTCTCCTGATGTCATTCTGATTATTTGGGCTGCGAAAAGAGAGACCGGTGGGAAACCACTCGATGAAAAACGAGCTTGTCAAAAGTTCGAAACAAGTGTGGCCAACCATATAAAAAAACGTTATAAAGAACCTTGTCGAATCAATTCAACGGCCTATTTATGCTCTTATTGCGTCGAGGGGAGGGGCCGCGTAACATTAGAAGCAGTGTGACGTAATAAAATTGGCGATTCTTTGATTTATGATTTTATAAGTTATAGGGTGCCAATACTTTTTGCGGGTTAATTTTACATATTTTCCAACAAATTATTTAAAAACTGTGTTTATCCAATTTTAATCAATGAAACATGATTATAATCGAAAACTACATTAGATTTGCTAATTGCGTACAAATTTTCATGCTAATTTGATAATGCATGCCAAAGTTATAGCCAATTTTATTTAGCTTGTGTGGGTGTTGCCAATACTTGTTCCATTGACTGTATGTGCTAATGTTCTAATCAATGTTTAGCTACAAATTGTTTAAATTAGTTACATATTTGTTTTTTTACGTGTCATTTGTGGAAGAGCATGGTTTATAATCAATCGAAGGACAAATGCATGAAATATGTATGATTTTTATGATTTAATTAAATAGAATAGTTTAGATGCTTATAAAAAATTATATGCTACTTGTGTCATGGTGTGTAAACCAATTTGCAATGAATTGATCTCTGTTGACACGTGAATAAAGGATTAACAACAACAACAATATGTCATCCTATTCTTTGCCCAGCCTTCGGGAAATTTGGAATACTTCAACACTTTTATTTTGATCACTTGAAAAACTCATCCCCGTATCCAACGCCAGAAACAGGGCAAGAATTTTTCTGAATCTCCGAAAAAAAGCTAATCTATAATTCTTTAAAAGATTTTGGTGACAAATTTCTCATCCTTTTCTACTCACGTCTTGAAACTTAATGGTAGATGCTTATGTATGTATCAATCGCAATATTTACAAATAAAGTAAAGCTTTAACTCGGTTAACCTCGTGTAATCGAATTATCAAATTTTGCATAATTTTATTCAGAGTGCGTCACGTTGAAATTATGGATAACAGCTTACAGAAAGGCTGACACGTCACTCCATTTTGCATCGATGTCACGGGAATTAATAAAAAAATGAGAATTTAATTATGTATGGATGAAAAATAAATAAAGCATAGCTACTTTTTATTTATGTGCAACTATACCCCCTACAAACATAGGGGAAGAAAATTTGGAAAAATGAGAAAATGCGTACATACGTGTGTAGACTTGGTAAAACAATGATTTCATGCATAGATCTAAATTTTCATTTGTTATTCGAATACTCCCATGAATATGGATATTTTAGTGCATCAAACGTTTTAAGACATTTATTTCTTACCACATAAAAATTCAATATAAGTATTAGAGGTGCATTCTAATATGTAGTAAGCTAAGTAATCAGTTAAAGTTGGCGTATTAACGACTTATCTCGGATTTAATTGTATACTGCCCACAATACATTTGTAAAGAACTTAATGCATGCATAAGTATTTGCATAGTACATACTCCAATTCCACTCACTATGTGACTAACAATGGAGGTCTCCCAACGCATGCTCACAGATTTGGACCAACTATTGTCAATCGATCGCAAACTAAATCTGTAAAGAGGATAAAACGCACCTCAAAATTGAAAAATTTTACACTTTGTGAATTCTATGCTCAGTGCTCCTTTTATCCCTTTCTTATGCAAATATCTCCGCTAAACTTTTGCATTGACAGATATTGTCATTTGCAAATTTCATACAGATTTAGTTTGCGATCGATTGACGCTAGTTTAGTCCAAATCTGTGAGCATACGTTGGGACACCTCCATTGTGAGCCATGCATACATATTTGCATATGTACATACTTATCCCTTTACTCCTCACCATCATTTTTGTCCATTCAACTACATATTAATATGCTTAACTAAACTTTATATAAATTCTTCGTCACATCCCAAATATCCTTGCTGCATAAAATCATAGTTTATACAATTCAAAGTGAAGAGTAGTAGTACGTGTTGTTATCAAACGTTTTCAATTTATTTTCAACTCTAACCGTAGCGCAATTGTGGTTAATTAACTTCTGGATTTGGATTGGATATGCACATGGACTCTGGTCATACGGATTTCTATTTATGACATATTGGTAAGTGCTTTTACTCAAATTTATTTTTAAATAGCCAATAGTTCCAGAAATTGATAAATGCAGTATTATATTACAATGGGAAATATTTTTACTTCCATTTCAAGCCCTGAATATTAAAGAGTACTGTCGTTTTTGGAAAGTAACATAAATTTGCTATCTTTTTAATTGGGAATAAATAAATAGAATAAATTCATTGTTAATCAAGAAAGATGCAGATGTAAATTTTTACCAGTCTAGGAAACATTAGCTTATTTATTCTTGTCGTAAACATTGTAATAATTTGATCTTCGTTATAGATTGTGCGTACTGACGTGGAAACTTACCGAAATCTAACAACACACACATACATGTTGCAATCAGGTTAGCATTATTAGGGGCCGTCCATTAATTACGTAAAGAAAAAATCACTAGACCCCCCACCATCCATCCCTCCTTAAAAATGTGTGACGTAGGAACGAGATCATTGGACCCTTAAACCCCTCCTCTCGATTTGCGTAACTTATGGACGGCCCCTAATACATATTCTACCCAGGGTTGCAGAAATCTCAGAAATCTCATCTCACCTTCACAAATCTCATCTCACTGAGATATATTGAGAAATAGTGAGACATGAGAAATATGAGATTTAGTGAGATTTATGAGCCATGCAGTGGCGCCACCTAGCGGTCGGGGTCATTAACTGCATGTTTATCTCATTATTTTTCATATTTCTCACTCAGCCCCAAGTGAGATAAATGATATAAATCATTAAATCTCACTAAATCTCACTAGGTGATATATATTACTTGTAACCCTGATTCTACCTCCTTCATATTTATCATTGAATAAATAAATACATCGTTCATCTATATACAATTTGCAAATGCTAGTCCGAAGTTGGGCCAGCAATTTCGGTTATACGTAACCATAATTGTTTAATTATAAATAAATATAATTGTTTTATTATTTCATTTGTTCGCAGAAAGGCGACCCCTTTACCCCCAAAAAACGAACAATCAATGCATCCAATCGAACAATTTTACCGCATCCATTATGCCAGTTTCCTTCTTGTATTCGGATTTGTGAGCTTTTTCGCAATGCGGAACGATAAATCGGCAGCGCGTGGGCGCAAATGGCGAACCTCTGAAGCTTACTTACATCTCCTGGAATTTCTCGGAGGCTGGGTTGGAAGTCTTTGTGCTCAAGTATTGTTTTGTCACAAGATCAGGAAAGCAAGCTACCAGTTGGTGTACTGGTTCATTGTTATGTTTCATGTTGTGTTCATGACGAAAGAGCTGTTTAATTGTGTCGATACGGTCGTGAAATTATTTACATAGTAATTGCTCTGTGATACAATTATCCATTTGCAAATCGGTTTAACATTCCATAATAAATCTTTCCTATCTGTGATTAATTTTATGTGAGAATTTTATTTTTTCCCTTTGTGAGAAAAATTTTCAGGTGAAAATGCAAATCTTCCGTCACGTTTTCCAACTTTGTAACCAGTGAAACCAATTCCATATAAACGGCTTGATTTGCTAATTAAAATTATTTATGTATTCATGATTAATCTAGCTAGACAATTCATTTCGTAATACCTTCATGTAAATTGATGGATTTACAAATTTAAAGTTTTATGAAAACTATGGCAAATTTTATGATTTATTTTACCTGTGTAGGTACATGTACATATGTATAATAATTCGAAACTTAAATTTGTATCACTACTTTTCAGAAGAGTAGTGGCATCAAGTGTCTTAAATTTCCTGGCAGATTGGTTCGCATGGATAATCCTTTGGTGCAACACACACTTTGGACTTAGGGTTGTAAACCAATTGCCCAGTTTTACCAAAACGTGGACACTCATGCTTAATTTTCTCGCCATTTGAGCACACATAGTAATTAGAACAGTCGTAAGGGTCCGGCAGCATATCCACGTTCGACAGGCATACGACGTCACAGGGTGTACTGATTCCGGAAGTAACGCGGAAAACCCAGACCCCGGGAATATTGATATTCGTTGTTGTTGGAATATACTCCGCCCACCTGGTGCATGCGTACGCGACTTGGTAGCGAGCTTTACCATCAGCTGCGTCCAATCCTGCGAAAGGGTTGTGTTTTCCGTTAAAGCCTGTAATTATGTAGATAAATATTAATATTTTATGTTAAATATTATTTACTTTACAATGCGACGACGCCAGCTCCGATTTTCCCAAAACGACGATAATTCTGTAGCCTTAGATAAATAATTGAACACGTGTCTCAGGATTTTTGGATCATAATGCTAAGTTTAAACGAAATTATGAAGAAATGAGTATGAGAGAATTTCGATTTTCTCCCTCACGAGAAAATTTTCATGGCAAAAATTCAGATTCTCGCTCACGGATTCCATCATAATTTCGTTTAAATCCTTAAAATTCCTGAAATACGTTGAATTATTTACTTAAGGTTACATAATTATCGTCGTTTCGTCAAAATCATCACATTTTTAGTAACATAGAACTTACAAAAATCTGAAATATTTATCAAACATTTTTGGAAACCCGATATTTTTTTGTAACCCCACCCACTTACCCGAGCAATGGTTTCCACCATCACCATTTATCATGTACGCGTTCACCCAATCGATTTTATTATAAAGGAAGATCACATAAGATTCCGTCCCCCCAAGGGTTAAGATAGTTTGAAAAGTATTTCTCAAAGCGGACCCTGGACAAGCAAAGGCAGGCGGACTTGCCCCGAAGAACGGAACGTCGTACGTGGTCATGACGAATGCCCATTTCAAATCGAAGGACATTCCTGGAAAGGCTTTTTGCAGAAAGGGCTCCACTTTGGAGAGTGTGGCGTTTTCGGTGGCTTGTCGGTAGGTGATATTTCCACCGATCTGGGTGTCAATGTCGGCCCAAAATGGGGTTATCGTGGGAATAGAGAGAGGGCTGCAATCGGGGATAGATGCACCACTGCCTACAATTTTGGGAAATTATGTCAGAATTTAAATTTTTGTAACCTATTTAGAAAGGAAGTATTTTACAATGCGATGGTGTGAAGGGTAACCCTTCGATTTGTTTGAAATTTTGGAACCATGCAATACAACTAACTTTTCTTTAGGCAGTTTGTGTGATGGTGGTAATTTGTCAAAATATTTTAGGACAAAGTTGAAAAACTCACGACTTTTTAGCAGACAGAGGAAGCAAACTCAACTTACATTCTTTTCCCTCAATAAAAATCGTCTATTTTTCAACTTTGACCTAAAATATTTTGACAAATTCCAACCATCGCACAAACTTCCTCAAGAAACGTTGGTTGTATACCACATAGCTTCAAAATTTCAACTAAATCGGAGGGTTACACTTCACACCGTCGCATTGTTAGAATACATAGAATAAAATAGATAACCTATTCCGGCAAAAAGTGTCGTAAATGTGAATTTAAAAAACAATGGAGAACTTTTTTTAAAATATAAATACACTAGTGTAGAAGCCCGTCAATCGACGTGAAAAATAGGCCCGTCGATAAGCCCGTTGCCCCAACATTAGTGAAGTTAGCCTCTCCTGTTCTCTTTGCAGAGCGGAGAGAGAAAAGGAGAGGCTAACTTCTGAACTAAGCCACCGACCCAGCAGGCAGCGATACACTCGTCTGCTTTATATAGTTTAGATTATTCTTATATTTTTAAATATGAACAGACGAATTTTTCAATAAAATTTGTCACCTTTAATGAAGGTGATTCCACCGTTTGTATTTATGAAAAGCTTGTTGTAGGACAAATTAGCAAATTTGAAGCCATCGAGGAGCGTGACGGGGACAAACGCATCGTCCATTGTGGGAAGGGCGAGGTCACTATTATCAGTCCCAAAAGGGATCATGTCTTTGACTGGGATGCCGTACGTGCCTTTCAAACTTTCTGGAAAATCGCTAAAAATAAGAGAAGGATTGATTTAATTTTTGCTGGTTTTAGAGTATTAGTTTGTTTTTGTCTCAGTTTACAAATGAATTAATTCTTGTTTAAATTTTAATTATTTGGATTACTATTATACAGGAAGTCCAATTTAATTATTTATCAAATAAGATGTAAAATTCTAAAGCGATTTTAAAAAATTATAAAAATCTAACCGGTCACGACTGCTCTGCGCCTCACTTGGATTTTCAAAATTTTCCGCCAGCTTGGCGATTGTATTTTCGCAATCAATACACTCCGCGTAACCGGTGTCTTCATGGAGTGCATTGAATGATAGTGAAAATCGTTCCGACGTGATGCTCAGCTAGCAATAAATTGAGACAAATTTGCAAATTTAATTGAGAAAATTCTTGCACAAAAATTCCAAATCGCTTTCTCGACTCTCACTTCCGGTACGGATAAGTTACTTCACTTCCACAACCAACAGAGATTCTAAATTATAATATAGATGTAGATACCTTGGCTCCATCCTCAATCCACGTTTCCGCATCTCGCTCTACAACTCTCACCAGTACGGACGCATTAGTAGCTGAAAAACGGAAGAAAATATGTATGTACTTCCCAAATTATTTGGTTGTTGAATTATATGTTTTTAGGAAATCTTGTCTTTGTTACCACCAAATATACCCAGATTCAAAATTATTAACAACATCGCTGTTTCGGATATCATACTTGTAGAATTATCTCGCCACCTTTATAAAAAGATAAAAAATTCTTAAATTCCTGAACAACGCTGATCCTGCTCTCAACACGTTGATGATAGAAATGAACTTGATAAACTGCAAATGCCTGACTATGATGGTTATTAGTCACTGATAATTCTGAAATCTATTTTTATATTTAGAGAAATTTCCAGTGCTACAGGTTAAGTCATGAGACATGTGCACATGTCTCATGACTTGACTCATACCAACACTGGCACATGTACCAGTTTTAGTATCAGTCTGTAAATACTTTTTGTAAATACTTGTAGAGTATTTTATTATTTTATCAACACTTCTATTTATGGGTCGAAGGTCACCAGATTTTAATCGTTTTTGTTATGTTGTTGTACTATGTACGTATATGAGTGTGGAAAAAATGAAAAGTCATAAACCAAGAATTTGACCTAAACTTGCATTTGCTATACAAATACTCGTATGAATACATACATACATCAAAAACATTTATTTTTGATCACATAAAAATGCAATTTTTTCTCATATTCGAACGTATGTATGTATTTATGTATGAGAGGTGGAATCGACTTAAAATTGGGGTATTAACGAGTTATGTATCTTAGATTTAATTTAAATGATCGCAACTAGTTTGGTACTAAAGTACATACCGTAAATACTCTATTTATAGCCGGGTCTTGAACCTATATGAGTTAAATAAAATTAATTAGTTTGTCTCTAATTAGAGCATTCGTTTAATGCCTGTTGTTAGTTGCTTCACGTTATGCATAACGGAAAAAATAATTTACCCGGGTCCCTAATTATGTATACCCGGTTTGAAATTGTGGTCGGATTTGTGGCGTCTTTAGACCCGGTTATAAATAGAGTATTTACAGTACATACACATGTGCATGGGTATCCAACTCCAATTCCACTGACTTGGACGCAGTCGTCTTACTTACATATGAATCATCTCACAATGGAGGTATCCCAGCGCATGGTCTCCGATTTTAACCAAATTGGTGTGAATCGATCTCAAATTTAATTAGTCAGAAATTTGCAAAATACAATATCTGCCGATGCTGAGGTTTGGCGGAGGGAGATACATACATAGCCAGGAATTTGCAAAATTATAATATAGACAATTAGATATTGTATTATTTATTTATTGAAAACATAACATTACAACAAAACATAATACAGCACAAAAACCAACAAGCCCCCACCAAGACCACTAAAATATAGAAGAAACAACCCATTCAAATTTTCAAATGTAATATAATCCGTAATAACATCAAGTGGGGAAAATCCTTTCGTACTAGAAAGAAACCTTAGTTTGTCCCACTCGTCCCGAATATTTGAAAGTCCAGACTCCTGCAACCTTTTCATGACTTTTGAGGCCAAGGCTACCGGGATAAATTGAAATTTGAAAAACCCTGGCTGCACATCTGCCACGTTTTTGGACAAGTAGCACTTATATTTTCCGCCAAGTCCGTAGTTCTGCAACCATCCAATTACGGTCTCATCCTGCCATGGATGTTTAAGAAAAACGGATTTTGGTTTTGAGGGATTTATGTGAAGATAGATATTTTCCATAACCAGGTTCAAAAGATGGTACGAGGATTTGTTAAATATCTCGGGATCTTTACCCTTATAAACAAGTTCGTTTTCAATGACTTTGTGTTGTCGCTGATATCCCGAATCCAAATTGTCCACGTAGATGACGGTGTAACCCAAATCAATGAAATCCATGAGACTCTCAATCTCCTTAAACTTCTCAGGAGCGATTAGACTCGATGTAATAAAGTATTCGTAATGCGATAAGATAGTTAAGCTTACAAACCAAAGGATAATTAGAGAAACTTGAGATAAGTTGCAATTGCTCTGGTCCACTGGTTGCTTGAATATTGCGCAAAAGGAGGGAAAAAATACTGGTTTTTTGTAAACATTTTCCTTAAATCTATATTTCGAAATAACAATTAACCCTGAAATTAAAAAGATAGCTACACCCCAAGCTAGATAATCGAAAGGTTCAATCCAAACGGATAAACTGGGGTTTCTCATCCTCGACTCAAAATCACAATAGACGCAGGATAAACCCCGAAATGTACTGAATACCCGTTCCTTAATCTGGATATACTCGTGGATTTTCCATACACTCCAAAACCACAATTCTCCATGAAGATTGGTTCGAAACTCGTGCGCACTTGAAGAAAGTTTTAAACTACAATTCATAGCTTTGGAAAGAACGTTTAATGTTTTTAGTACGGCTGAGCAATTCGATATTTCTTGAAGTTCACTAGTGGCCATGCAATTCGCAAAGTGTTCTATGTACTTCCATCCGAAGTTAAGTAAGTTGCGATTTTTACCGTGTCAGTAAACCAATACTCCCTTAAACTGTACAGATTAAATTTTCTCGGGTTTAACGGACTTTGGATTATATTCCAGTAGGATTTGCAATGAATACAGAATACGGCCCAATTTAAAGACAAGTTTGTATCGTTCATTGCTATCACGGAAGCTTGCATGATATTCGCGGCGAATTTCATGTCAGCATTCATAATAAATCTTATTTTAAATACGTCGTTGATTATGACAAAGTTGTGAAACTTACTGGTTCGAAAGTTGTCTCGGTTTCTGTACCGGAGGCGTACATATTGAATTTGTTTCTCAATGTTAAATCCAACGTTTAAAGAGCAAGGTTCGAACACATGGAAGTCTGAGATGTAATTGTGCTCTGTAGTTTCATAAAGTGGGAGTTGAGTTTGAATCGTAATTTTTGTAAAGTGAATACCACCTTTTAATGTTTTGTGTAGGATTAAATTCTGTAAATCTGTGTAGAAGCTAAAATTGTCGCCAGCACCGTAGAATTTTATTGTGCAAAGTTTGTAATCGCTTAAATCCCCATTGTATGCTCGGGGTTGGATGTTAGAGGTGGATGTTGAGATAGTTTGCAGAAATATTTGCAGAAGAAATAGTAGCTGTTTCATATTTTTGTAACAATTTATTTTTTTTCTGAGACAAAAATAATTTTGACTGCAGGGGCCATTTAGCTTAGTAAAATTTACCAACGCTAAAACTGTCTTTAGAATAGTTAATTATATGCTAAGTAATACGTTATATGTTGGATATATGTAAACGAAATGGAATTGCAAAAACAAATTCTGCTCATAAATTACAAATGGCATATATTTATGCATAGCTTTTTACCTAATTCTCATCTACAATGTTAAAATGAAAACTTGGAAAGTTTTGGAAATTATCAAAGCTTAATATCCGGGTTCTCGAAGAACTTTTCGGGTGGCCTAAGCATAATAATTGACAATATTTCAAATTCTGTATTTTATTAAATGTGAAATTAATACCTACTTATTTGGGATGTTGATTAAGTCGCCTATGAAAATGTTCCGAATTTAATGGAGAGCAACGTAGTCTTAATAAAAATAAGTTTGGCATTTCGGAGTGAGCACTTTGCTTATAAATAGATATGTAAAAAATAAAATATGAAACTAGGTACAACTACGGCAACAAAATCAAAAATACTTATATAAACATTAACTAAACCAACTTTACTTAATATTAAACATACATGCATATTTAAATAAATGTATGAATAACTAATGAAAAAATCCTCGTTTCATTCTTCCTATTCATTTTCGAGCACAATTTTGTTTGTACGCATTTAAAACTCACGCGATAGGAGGAAATAATTATCTATATGAATATGTATATGAATATTATTTTAATAATTCAACACATACCCACAGTGCCTATACATACTTAAGTTTAAATCCTTTTTATTTTGGTAACTTCGATTTAATCCCGAGAAATTTGACCTTTGAAACTTTGCACAGTGAAAGTCCATAGAGATTGAGTAGGAATGCCGGTTCAAACTTACACAAATCTTAACAAGGTCAAAGGTCATAATTTTTCACCAAAAGGTCATTTTCAGCTACCTTAGAGAAATTTTTTCGGTGTTTTAATTTTTTTATTTGTTAGCCTAACTCAATCTGTAGAATTTGGCATATTGTGCAGGTTCATGCGATTTTCTTTAAGGGTACAGGAAGTTTTTTTCCAGAGCTTGATAATTTGTTCCCATAAGGCCAATATTATAACTTCAGAAAAAAGTACGTCGAGTAATTGGAAGATGTGAAAGATTGTAAATTACACAATCCTTACTTAATTTGTTTTACTCGAGAGATAATTTTTCTTTGCTTCGTTTCGCATTCTTTGAAGTGAGGTAAATTCCAAAACAATTGAAACCCTGATATTTTCAACATTTATATATCAAAGGATGAGTTATCTGAATCAGCGCCTGTTATTAAGAGGCGATTTTTAATGTCAAGTTGAAAAATTCTACACTTCCTAAATTCCCACATGTCTGATGCACGTTTTCTCCTCTTCGCATGCAAATATGTCCGCCAAACGTAAGCATTTGTGGATCGTTCTAAATTTCATATTAATTTAATTTCTGATGGATGGATAAATAATTTGGTCAAAATCGGAGAGCATACTACATACATTGGGAGACTACGATGGTCAATTATTTCTGTAATTAATGCATATTTATGTCCATACATATGTACATATGCCTGCTTCCTTTTTAACTCTTCATAATCATACGTATCTTCTATTCAATCTTATATACATTCAACTTTATGTACATACTTCCACATCAAAAATATCCTTGCTGGATACAATCATACATTATATAATGTTCCATGGAATACTCTGCAGCTGCAGAGTATGTATGTCATGCGATGTGTTTTTCTCTCTAAAACGTTTTCAATTTATATTCAAGGCGATCTGTAGCATAATTGTGGTTCGTTAATTCACTTCGTCATTTGGATTGGGTAAGGACTTTGGTGATAAAGATATTAGTAAGTGGTTTTTCATATATTTATTTTTTAATATCATATATTTTCAGGAATTAATAAGTATTTAATAAATTACTAATTTAAGGATTTTTAATTTCAAGTCGTGTAAATTATGTAAAGAGTTTTGTCTTTTTGCTTACTTGATACATAAATATTTACATGTACTTATAATTGGGAAGAAATTGAAGGGTAAATTTCAGTTTATGTATCTTAATTTGTATTTGATATCATTTTAAACCAGGATATTTAAATCTGTACTGATCTAGTAAATAAGCATTACCGTATTCTTGGAGCAAACTTTGTAATAATTTGACCTCTGTTATAGGTTGTCCGTGCTGACGTAGAAATTTACATAATTCACCAAAATCAACCGTGCATATTGCAATCAGGTGAATATATATTATTTTCTATCATATTCATCCTTTCATATCATCACGTCAACCCTTGTAGTCTGCGTGTAATCAGTGTGTTAGGTTTGTAACTTTACGAAATTTTACACACATGCCCGAGCAAAATTGACTTGCGACCTTTTACGAGATTTATGCATCTCAATTTCGTTCGTAAATAACTCGAGTATTTAGTATTTGGATTTTCAGTTAAAATCAGAGTTGGTTTAGGTTACGCATTTGTAGCAAAAAAGGGTAAGAAAATGTACACAAATCAACATACATACATACGTCAAGTGTGCGTAAACTTGTATTTATACAAACTTGACGAAAAATATCTCACGAGCTCGTTCATATTGTACATATATGTTCAAATTTAAACTGTTAGTCCGCAGCTGGGCTTACATTACAATTACCGCTTAGATATCGTAGCGATTATTTTTTAACTAAATATAATTACTTCAGTATTATACTTGTCATTAGGGAATTGGTCGCCCCACAAAAAGGAACAATCAATGGATCAGATCGAGCAATACTACCGGGCCAATTATGGCTACTTCCTTCTTTGGTTTGGGCTTTTGACCTTTTTCGAAATGGGAAGAGATAAATTGGCAGCATGGCGAACTTCGGAATTAAGCTTACATCTCCTGGAATTTCTTGGAGGCTGGGTTGGATCTTTGTGTGGTCAGGTATTCTTCTGGCACAAGATCAGGAAGACAAGCTACCAGGTCGTGTACAGGATCATTGTTTTCGTTCATGTCGTGTACATGTGGGAAGAGCTACTTTGTTGTGTGGTTGACGTCTGGAGTTATTACAATAAATAATAAATGAAATATGAGAGCTTATCCACTTGGATATTAGTCTTACGTTCCATTAATAATGACCCTGATTAATTTTATCGACGTCTTCATTGTAAATACATATGATCTGATGGGTAAATCATTGCCAATTCATACACAAATGATTTATGTATCACCTTTAAAATTCATTCTATCCTTGGCTACATTGTCGGACTGAAATTTATTAATAAACGATTATATATTACCTATACTACTGTTTATTAATTTGTTTTACTTCAGCACACATTTTTCTTCGCTTTCGTTTACTTTGAAATGAATTAAACATTTATTTGAGGATGGGTTATCTGAATCAGCGCCTCTACATAATTAAGATGTCGACGATTCCGAAAAATCGTGCGAATTGACGTCACAGCAAAATTGATCGGCGTCAACCTCTCGCATATTTGCATGGCTGTCTAAATATGTGTCCATGCATCCATGCAATTATTATTTAGTTCAACGTTTAACTACAAAATATGTACTTATATAGTCGGTTTTGTACGTAATTTTGATCCCATATTCTGTAATTGACGTATGACGACAGAATGCCGTGACCCCATCAAATCGATCACATACATCAAGCATGGTTTCTATTTATTAATCCACAAGTGCAAATATTTGAAGAGAAAGAAAGTGCAAAGTTCAAGCAATTTGAGTGAGTGACGAATGTCCTTAACTGTTCATTTATTCATCCCCATTAAAGCCTCGTGTTCATCCGATAAGCAAACAAAAGATATGCAGCCCTCTTCAAATTGACACATAATAAGGAATTAAGTACGTGGAAGAGAATAAGAGAGTTGACAAATAACTTATACACTTTTGTAAATATCGATTTAGAGGAAAATTGTATCGGGAAAAGTTCCTCAATTTCTCATACTTAGGGACGTTGCGAAAAGAATGGGGCTAATTTTCGCAATAATAATCGTGACATCCGGAGTGACCTTTATGACCTGTGTCACAAATAAGAAATATAATTCCTTGACCTTAAAATGGATCACATCCTTTATGCCCGTTCCCCCTACAGAGCTTTCACTAACTAAATAAGTACATACGTCGTAGTTTCTCGGTATGGCATTTATTTATTTATTTGTTGATACCTATCCCGACCACAATTTGGTAAACTATTGATTTGACCCAGCCCAGAATATTGCGTAGTTGGGAAGGAAAAGAGTAATTTGTGGGCAGTATTTGTAGGTAGTGGTAGAGCCATGTACATACCTAAGTTGGTAGAAAATTCAGTTTAAAAATTCAATTATAATTTGCGGCTTTATTTTTTAATCGGCTTATCATACCTAGATTCCAATTTCGCGGTTGATAAGTGTCGCCAGACCAGTTGGTGTCAAATATTTAAGGCAACTAAACCATACATACACCAGTTGCACAACTACCAAATAGATAAATATGACTCTAATTTGGTAAAACTTTGTAATCCTTGCCTTATAATTTTCAGGATTTTGTAAAAATTTTATTATTAGTATCTACATATCTACCTGTTGGTCATCGCCGGGTAACAGATCACTACCACACGTTGCAATGTCTGCCGGAGTATATTTTCATCATGGTCGTCCCTCCGGTAAAGGGGGAAGTTCCCCCTTAATGTTGGGTGGGTATCGACAGTGGCGAAGTTGGACGTCGGTAGATTCCTGGCATGAAAATGACCACTTATCCGGCTCGACGGAACCCTCGGTGCGGATAACGCTGGATAAGACGTCCACGACCCCGGTGCATAACCAAATCTCGGGAGTGATCGAGCTCAAAAGGAACGAGACTTATTGCGGTATGCAAAAAAATGACGACATATCTGTGTTTATACGCTCCCGAAATTCGACATAGTAAAAAGTGGTTCATTTTCAGAATTCATAAGATTTCATAAAATAATATGCATACAAATTGTATGGGCAAGATGCATGCATAAAAATTATATGCACGGAACTTAATTATGCATAGAAATTAACATATACGTCTTTCGCATACAATTTTATGCAGAAACCTTTTGCAACATGCAAACCTGTATTAAGTTTTTTTTATTATTGCACATACCAGTGTATTCTTGCAAAATTTCCAAAGTTCGCAAATTGGCAAAAATCTGTTCAGTAATCAAATACTTTCATTCAAATATTTGTTCGCGAATTTTACACAAATCTGAAAAAGGATTAATCCAATTTTAACATACTTTGTAGGCGTGATCGTTGAGCTTTTGGGATTTTATACGCATGCGGAAACCTCTTACCCGATATTGCCAAACGACAGGTGCAACATATATCAACGGGTGGCCGGAACCGGGGTGAAAGGGGAAACTATGACGTCTCGAGCCTTGACTAAATTTCCCTTTCAGCTTAACCTCCCACCAAATTGTGTGCTGCCAGCTACCCTAAAAACTAAAATGGGTCGACAAGTTCAATACTATCTTCGCGTATCGGAGGAACGTGGAACGGCTGAAAATTCCCAGATGGGAAGAAAGGTACGGAAATTGTGTATTTAGAGAGAAGAGCTCCGTTGAATTTAAAGGCATGAATATTTTATTCGTAAAATTCGACGGTATTTACCAGTTAAAAATAAGCTTATGCTTTTGAAAAGTTAATGTACTATGAATTCGAACAACTTCATAAACTAAATCCAGGGTAAATTCCACTCTTTATTAAGTTAACGTTAGCATGGTTTACTTTATATACAATTCAGAACGCATTTGTTTTCAAAAGCGTAACTTTATTTAGGTATGTACGTATAAGAATACAGACCTTTGGGAACTTTGCTCCAGAAATTTCCAAAATTTCCAAAGTTCCCACTTGTCGACGTCAGAAATGAAGCATTTTAAAATTATCAAGTTGCATACAGTACGTACATAATTACGAAATTCTCTGGTTATGAAAAAATTGCAAAAATTGATTTCTTAACGCGTTAATCCAACCCTTTGTGTATGTATGTATGCATATACATGCAATTCACTGCATGTGTGTGCATATGTACATGCAGGCCAATTAAAAAGATGAACGTTTCTGCATAAATTTATGTATCAACAAAAATCAATCATTTCTTGCCCAAGCATGTTTTTCAGAAATTTCGAAAGTTTCACTAATTTCGAACATAAAGAAATGTTGTTCTCCTTAATTTTCGAGATTTAAGCAAGTTAAAATTTGTGAGTACACCCATTATAAACTCAAATTACAGATAATCCTCTACGGGGGTCGGTTACCCCTGAGGACCAATCCTTGTGCCATCTCCCCACTAAAAAAGGAGCTATCACTCGACGGTGTTACCGTCGTGTTGGAAATTGCCAAGCAGGAATTTCTCCTCGGACAAAGTATCCCCTTCACCATAACGTCTCAAGGGGAAAGTAGTGTCGTGAAACGAGTCAAAATATCCCTCACGAGAACAATCTCCCACTCACAAAAAGTACTAAGATGCGTCGAACAAGAGAGTGAAGTACAAATCTCGTCCGAATCCGAAGTCATGGATTGTCTCGTTTTTCGAAGATTTCTGAAAAGAGAATCCTTCACGAGAAGTGGAAAGTTGTCGCAGGGCAAAGATCCAATTCCCACGTTTGCATCGGATGACGAGCCCCATTTAAGGATTCGTTACGTGGTCGAGGTCAGTGACGAACAAGGGCAGTCTTGCAGTGAATGCTATCCGATTTTGAAAAAAAACTTTTGATCAACCTCTAATTTAATTAATATGAAATTTACAAAATAAAGTATATTCAAAAGTTCAGGTTCGGCACTGGTATTTGCATCCGAACAGGAGAAAAACCGCAATAAATTTGGATAGTGTGAAATTTGTCTCTCCTCTTCGGATGCAAATATCTGTTCCAAATTTGAGCATTGGAAGATATTTTATTTTGGAAGTTTCATATTGATAAAATTTGTAGTTGACTAAAATTAACCATTAATTTGGCCAAAATCTGAGAGCATACGCTGGGAGACCTCCATTACTTTAAGTGAAGTTTAAACATTTGTGACGACAAGTGTTCGTTTTTCTAGATCAAGCTGACCACCAGGGGACATAATGTTGACGTGAAGCAAATGGAAGTCATTATTGGGACGGAGGTGGTTTCCAGTGATCGTAAAGAAATAGAGGGGGCATCGTCATCTATGGTTGTACCGTGAAACGGGTTAAATTGTTTTAAAATATCTCGTAATTAGTTGGACAAGTAGTGTTGGTGTAGTCAAATTTATTTTTATAAGATTTATCACTATCTTCAACATCTTCGTAAGTATTTCACACTGAAATATATAATATTTGAATGCAAAAAATCTTCGTCTTTGAGAAATACATACATTGTAGAAATATGTATATATACCAACGTAGAATTTCCTAGGAAAAATTTGTTCTCTCACTTATTTATTTTCAGGACTTGTATACGATTTCAAAAATTATTTATTTATATACACATCCAAAAGTGAATAAATACATACACTAAAATTGTTCATTCTCGTTTTGCTCATTTATAATTTACATTCATCAATAGAAATAATTGCAAAAATAATTAGCTAAAAATTGCTTGTAGTTTTTGAGAAAAATGCAATTCCATAAATAGCGATGTCACCACCGGGTCAGTTCCGGATTTGTTAATTCGCATGAGTGTAAATATGTCTCTACATATTAACATAAATAGGGACACATTGTACACATGTATATGTAAAACCGTATTTTTATTGAACCCTAGCCTAGGTTTCACTAATTTGAAAGACAACCGAGGAAAGCTCGGTACCCTTTTTTACCCCTTTTATGAGAATGCCGATATATTTACATATGTACATAGTATGTATGCATTACTCTGAGCCACTTATTTGGCCCTTTAAGAGTATTATCTGGACCTGCAAACTATGCACTACAAAACATAAGTGCATATGTATGTATGCATATGCATATTTAGTTGCATATGTACAGGGTGGTTAAAATGTCACGCCACAATGGAAAATTTTTCGATGGGAAAAATCCATAAATTTCCATTAGTTACCGAAATTTTGTCTCTAAAATGCAACATTTTAAGAATTTTGTCATCAGTTTTGATAATAATTTATAAAAATCTCAATCCCAAATCTTGTAACTAATGGAGATTTAGGGACTTTTCCCATTGAAAAATTTTCCATTGTGGCGTGGCATTTTAACCACCCTGTATATACATGCTCATCTGCATATGTATACATACTTATATATGTACATTCCAAAACAAGCTTTAACAGAGTAATAAATACCTTTTATATGCATTAAACCTAAGCAAAGGTTCAATAGCTTCATTTATTCTCTAGAATCCGAACAGGCTTGTCTTGGAATTTCTAGAGCCTTTGGCAAAACTTTTCTACAGAATATATATGTATGTAAGTATGTAGATAAAATAATTTTCGTCACTGTATATGTATGTACATACATATTTAGACCACATTTCCATATTTAATTTGTTTTTAATTCGTATGTTTATTTTACAGAATTTGACAAACTCAAGCTAGCGCAAAAGAAAATTGTCTTGTTTCTACATGGACAAAACAAACATGGACAAAATATTGATCAGCATTCCACTAATTTTAGGATTCTTTGGTGGTATGTAACTGAATTAAAAATTGTGTATTTAGATATTAATAATTCATATCGAAATTGTGTATTACCTGTTTCAGTAATACAGATAAACGCTCAAACACCTTGCACGCCGGTGGATGTCACGGTGCTGGAGGTAAATTATGTTGGATGGGCAGGAGGAAAAATGCACTACACGAATCTTGGAAATCTTGTAAGAATTGTGATCTTAAGTTTTTGGCCAAATTTGCGAGTGTTTAAATTTGGCATCTTTTTTGCATAGGGAATGTCGTACTGGGACGCGATAGAATTTTGTCTCTGCCACGGAATGGAACCAACCTTAATTAAAGGACCCGACGTGGATGTGATGTTGTACAATTTTCTCCAGCGGCTATCGGGAAACTCGACTTATAATAGTAAGACGATTTAATTGAAAATTTTACGAAAATTTTATTTTTTTTATCGAATTTTATCGAATTTTTTTTATCGACGAAGTTTTTATCAGAACTTGTGCAAAATTATGCGTTTTATAAATACTTGTTGTCATGTTTAATACGCGTTAGGCGTACTCACGTCGATGTATAATTTGGCAATGTACCAAATCATTTCAGAAACAATTTGCGAATTAGAAACATTTTAGCGAATACTTATCTACGAACAAAAATGCCAGTTGTTGCAAATTTCTTCGGATCATGACCGATTTGCCAATGTTACAGTAAGCACAACTAATAAATATTTATTTAAATTATGCATTAAACAGCTCGCCCCTTCTGGCTAAGCCTGAACGATAACGATCGAGAAGGAACCTTTCGCTGGTACCAGAATTCCACCCTTTTACAAGGCTACACAAACTGGGCACCAAACTCGCCAGTCATTGACCCACAAGGTGGTCCTCACGTCAACTGCGTCTCCGATCAGCAGTACACAGGTAGACAAACTTGTGTCTGGATTAACGTTCCATGTGACACGACTTGTTGGCGACCACTTTGTCAACGCTAGGGAAAATGCAAAATTTGCAAAAAAATATTTTAAATTATTTTAAAACAACAATAATTAAGCTATGTCTTTTACCTATTTTGAGAAATATTTGTAAAATATTGACAAAGTGAAAAGGAATTATTTCTTTTCTAAAATCTTACCATCCATACTTATGAATAAATCTCACAATATAAAATTATGGTAATTTCATATTTCGAAAAAATTCCTCAAATTTTTGTAAACTCAAAATACGACGGTTATGAAAATCGAAGTTATACATACGTATGTGTGTACATAAGTACATTAAAATTCAATTGTCTGGGATAAGTGTGTGAAATATTTTCAACTTTATTTGTCCAAAATATTTAAAATGTCTTCAATTTCCATGGAAAATAAAGAACTTTTTGTTCACTGTAAAATACGATTAGTTTATCTTAATTTAATTGCAATATAATTTACTAATTCACATATTTATTCTCCCTCCTTTCTGCTATGCAAAATTAATTTATCAGCGCATCCATTTCATTCAACATTTTTAATACTTTGGTCACCGTTTCACTCGTTTGAGTTAGCACGTCTGAAATATTTTTGATAACTTGTCTTCCTTCAGAATCTCCGGGTTGGAGAGCATTTTCAAGAATTTCAAGCTTTTTGAATAATGGATCCGCCCCGTAAATGATTAACATGATGGGATCCGTAATATTGTTTACAGTGACTTGGTCCAGTAATTCGCCCTCGTGTCGGGCCAACTCTTCAATAATTGGCTTCATGAGATCTACTGCTTCGAATAAACTGGTCATTTCTGCCATGACCTCGCCCATCGGGGTTTTCACTTCGGGTGAATCCGGATATCCGGAATCTATCCGGTTCGAGAGAGATTGCACGGATAGAAAAATACTTGTGAGGCCGTTACAAATAAATTGCAGGAGAGGTAGAAATGGTTCCTGAAATAAAATTAATTTTTTAATTAGAGCGTTGCACTAAATGTGAAAATAAATTTAGCAAAATAATTTTGGCAAAATTTTTACAAAATAGTGACACCCTTAATCTACACACACTAATTAGAAATTCAATATTAAAATAATACCAATTTGTACCATCAGTTGTATTAAAATGGTACTGACAAGTAAAAGTAATAGCTCTGTATTAAAGTTGTACCACATAAGTAGCAAATTTGTTGGGACCGGTACAATTTTAATACCAAGCGGTAGCTACTATAAAATTGTGATTTTCCTCGCAAATCTTTTGTGTAAAGACTTCACAAAAAAATCAAAGCTGTCTCATTTTAATGCCAAAAAAGTACTCCCGTTTTTTAACCAATTATCAAATTTTATTTTATTTTTGTATTACCATTTCTGACGAGTTCAATTTAATTTTATGTGTTACAAAAAGTAAAAAAAAACTTCCTGTCGCCGGTATCCCTAAATGTGGAGTGAGTGAAGTGAGACGATTAAAAGTGCATCTGGCTGAGGATGAGGATGCGAGAAGTGAGACGATGACGTTGGTGTTAGGTTAGGATCACTGGATTGGATGAGTAATGTTGGTTGGTTGATGATGGTTAGTCACATTACATTATTACATTACAGGTTAATTTCTAGCCTGATTCTACGTATGAATGGAATGAATCACACAAATTGTGAATACGTATGTATGTATGTATTTAGTGCAATAATGCTACGCAAGTCGTCCCCGTGACGTTTACATTTGCATTCTAAATAATAATTTGTGAACTTTCGCAAAAAAGTAGTGGGGTGAAATTCATCCCAATCTTGTGACTCATGATTATGCACATATTAAACAGGTAATTTGTGACAAGTACCAATGTCAAGTCTGGAATATTATTAAGTAGCTTCAGCTACTTTATGTGAAGACTTTGTCTGTCTGTCTGTCTGTCTGTCTGTCTGTCAGCAGGATATCAGGAGAACGGATCGAGATAATCGAAATCGGTTTTCGCCATCATACATAGGACCCCAGGGGGAGGATCCTATCAACTTTTGGGGGCAACCGGACCACACCCCCTTTGGCGACAGGGGGTGTGGTCGGGGCAAAATGAGATTTTTAGTGCAATTTAATCTATAGGTGAAATAGAGTAAAATTATGTGTTCCGGAGTTGTGCCACACCCCCTCGGCGCCAGGGGGTGTGGTTGGGGCAAAATGAGATTTTTAGTGCAATTTAATCTATGGGTAAAATTAGGTGAAATTGAGTGAAATTAAATGAAATTAAGTGAAATTAAGTGAAATTAAGTGCTTCCCCGATTGTGCCACACCCCCTCGGCGCCAGGGGGTGTGGTTGGGGCAAAATGAGATTTTTAGTGCAATTTATTCTATGGGTAAAATTAAGTGAAATTGAGTGAAATTAAATGAAATTAAGTGAAATTAAGTGAAATTGAGTGTTTCCCCGATTTTGCCGCACCCCTTCGGCGCCAGCGGGTGTGGTTGGGGCAAAATGAGATTTTTAGTGCAATTTAATCTATACGTGAAATAGAGTAAAATTATGTGTTCCGGAGTTGTGCCACACCCCCTAGGCGCCAGGGGTGTGGTTGGGGCAAAATGAGATTTTTATAAAAAATTAATCTATAGATGAAATAGAGTGAAATTAAGTGTTCCCGAGTTGTTCCACACCCCCTCGTCGCCAGGGGGTGTGGTCGGGGCAAAATGAGATTTTTACAAAAAATTAATCTATAGGTGAAATAGAGTGAAATTAAGTGTTCCCGAGTTGTGGTGGGACCGTTTGGGGTGAAGTACGTCTGAAGCTACTTCCGTATGCGCGTTTGCGACGGTTTATTTCCTGCGTTTAATGGTATGATGGACACGTAAGAAAACTGAATATTTGTACATAAATACGTGTGTATCTGACTGAAATGGATGCACTCTTAAAAATAATGTCACCCTTTTGAAAAGTAAATGCACCCTTAGTGATAAATTAAGTAAGTTATACAAAACCCTGCGTAAACTTTACGCTTTATCAAGTTAGCGTTACTCTGGATTTAGTGCATGTAGCTTGCTTAATTTTGAATTCAGAGTGCAAAGGAGTAACAATATTTTAAGAGCGTGCATATACATATTTGTACTATTGATTAATTAATTTAGCTAGTATAAATTAAAAGTAATAAGTAAATGTGTCTTATAATATTTATTTGTCGCGATGTACAGGGTGGTTTAAATGTCAGGTTACAATGGAAAATTTTTCAATGGGAAAAATTCGCAAATCTCCATTAGTTACAGAAATTTTGCCTCTGAAATTCAATATTTTAAGAATTTTGTCATCAGTGTTCCATAAGTTTTGATAAAAATTAATAAAAATCGCAATCCCAAATCCGTAACTAATGGAAATTTACGAATTTTTCCCATTGAAAAATTTTCCATTGTAACCTGACATTTAAACCACCCTGTATGTACACTTGGGAAAATTTGAGTAATAGTGAAGATTGGAATTTCAACAATCCTGAGACATTTGTGAATTCGGGGATTCTACAAAAAATAGGAAACGTGTATTACTGCAGGCATAAAAAAATTATTGCATGCTTAAAAAAAGTTATCAAGTTTAGAGCTTACATAACCGCGTTTGGTGACAATACAATCCTAATAACAATGTTTCCGAAGGTCAGTTATGGATATTTCTTTGTTCTACACTCGTTCTCTCTCAATTTTTTCCAATTCGTAAGATGTTTTATCCTCCAAGGGGAGAAAATTCAACTGGGAAGACGAGGTGTTGGAATTATGTATCTATTTTGAGGGGAGATGATAATCATTACTATGTTGAGTAAAAAAAATTGAAAAAAACGCATTAAACATCGGAAATCCATAATTTTACCAGCGTCGATTGGTTCAGGCTTGATAAAAATGGGACAAGAATTACTACACATTTCCTTTGTTTCATCAGTTTTAATATTTCCGACGGACTTCTTCTCCTGTTCACGTTCCAATTCGTCCAAGAATCGTTCATCGTCCGAATCGATTTCCTTAACGACGGGGTCGGGTCGTTTTTCGATTAATTTTTGAGTTTTAAAAGTCTGTATGCTCATCGACCCTGAACATAGAACACTTAGACGTTAGACACGATAAAAGATTGTTTTTACTACTTATGCGTGTCGTATTTCTCACCATTTCCAGCAGTCGGGTGGAGCTTAGATATGTGTCTCTTTAAACTAAATCTCGTCGTAAAACTTGCCGGACAGTGGGGGCACTGGGGCACTTTTGGGCGGGGGCCGTGTGTTCTAAAATGGCTGATGAGTTCTAAACTTCGACGAAAGGCTTTACCACAGAGGAGACACTAGTGGGGTTTGGATGCCAGGGAGACGCTGTAAAAGGAGGACAATTTTATTGAAAGATGTATGTACGTATACCTTAATAGCTCGGCGGGTATCATGGATATTTGGTATTTGGAGGTTCGAGGTTGGAGAATTTTGTATCAGTATGGATATTAGAGGGCGAGCATTTTTAATGGATATTTGGATATTGAATATTGGATATTTGGATATTTCAAGGGATTTTAATGGATACATTTGAATATTTGGGGGCTGAATGGGGAGAAATTTGTAATGAATATGGATGTTTGGATATCAGAGGGTGACCATTTTTAAATAGGGAATGTTGTCAAAATACATGAATTTTAAATACCAAAAAATTGTATCTTGAAAATACAACACACGCATTTTGTATTTAAATACAAAAGAATCGAATTGTATTTGTATTTTGAAGAAATGTATTTTGACCATCCATCTTTTAAGAGGCTTTAAATATTTGGGGGCTGAAGGGCGAGATATTTAGGGGAGTATGATGGACAACGGTTTTGGATACGGATATTTGGAGGTTTTCACCCGATATCCGCCGAGCTCATAATCAAAGTCACAATTTACATACGATTCCTTCCTGAGTCTTTTACGTTGTCGAACTGTGATTTATAAAGTTTGGGAGCGTCCATAAATCACGTGATCGATTTTTGGACAATTTTGACCCCCTTCCCCCCCTTGGTGACCGGTGGTGATAATTTCGCTACCCCCCCCCCACCGGTCACGTGACAGGAGACGATTCTCAAATTAAATCATGTTGTCCGGAATAACAATATTTTTTAAATCAGTAATCAAATTAGACCTAACGTGTAAATAACTATTTAATACGCCAGTCAGACATAAGAATTTAAGTCGAAGCAGGTTTCTAATTATGCAAAATGAAAATCAAATTTATATAACGTGCGTGTGGTATGCCAAGAAAGTTTATATTTAACTCTCATGACATTTATTGGCATATACAAAAGTTAAAAAAAGCTTGACTCATGTCACGTGACATCTGACCATACCCCCCCCCCCGTGGTGATAATTGGTGACAAATTTCAGACCCCCCCCCCCCTCTAATCGATCACGTGATTTATGGACTCTCCCTTTATAGTTAAGAAAACTTGACATTGGAAGAACGTATGAATTGATTGAATGGTTGTAAAATCTGATTTTAAACTCACCTGTTAGGTTGAATACTTCCTGTTCTTCTAAACTATTTATATCCTCGGGTAAACGATTGTTATTCTGCGAGCTTATGTCCACGTCATGATATCCGATTGGTTCAGTCTTGATAAGTTGGTCAGCGTTAAGATTATCACACAAATTTGGAGGCTCGTCAATATTTATTGGACCTAATGTATCGTTAATTTTAATTATTGGAGGATTGTACATACATGTGAAAGAAAACAGAAGTTTTTTTTAAATACCCGGCCATATAAATCCTCCCAGAATGTGGGAAGGTTCCTGCTTTATGTTTCCGGGATGGATTTTTAAATCGTCGTCGTCATCGCCATGTCTACGATTTGGCGAATACTTTATGTCGAGTACTAGGTCATCACGCTCCATGATAGTTTTATGGTCTGGATAAATATGTACATGTTTTTTTATTATTTGTTGTGCGATTTTGCGTTTTTTGATTAATTGTTTTATACTTTTACTTACCTTTAAACCAAATTGGAATTCAAATTACGGCTCGTAATTTACGAGTCATATTAGCTTAATTGATTAAAAGTTAAATACTTTTTATATATGTTACAAAGTGTAGATTAACTTTTAAATTTTGTCTTTGGAATTTAATATTCTGTGTTTATTTACAATTTTGAGTGTATGAACACATGTGGATGAAGAGCATGACGTGAAAATGAGCTGGATTTCTGCCGCCGCTTCATGCTTCAACAGGCGACCAGGGTTCACAAAGCTGTGGTTTTTATATGATTTATTTTTGCAATGCAAAATCTTAACGTAAATTAATTAAAAACCACCACAATTTGGTTTTTTCCTCTGCTCGTTACTAAAATACTTATTCACATTTTGCACATACATCATCTGACCATTTTTAATTTTTTAGCAGGCATTTTGTTAAATGGACTACAATTAAAAAATGCAAAAATACTTATTGTGGATGACCATAGGTGGGGGTCATATTTGTATGGTTTTAACAAGTGTTTCTAATAAACAGTGATACAATTTGTTGATTCGAGCATGTATCACAAAAAACCCAGTATTTACTATACCAGTGTTTGGGGAACCCTACTAAATGACAGATACTTGAGATTCTCAACTTGAGATTGCGTCTCACTTTTCATAAGTGTGAATGCATGAATAACTTCTTGGAAGCATTATTCCGTGTCGTTTTACTTATCCTTTTGCATTAACTGTAAATAATTTACTAAATGCGAATTAATACATTGAGACAATTCATGCAATCAGTGCTAGCCTGTAAAACTCGTGAGCTTTGTAAAATGACTAAAAATCCGCTCTTAATCTGAATACATATGTATGTAAGTTCACGAAAATTTGTAAGCAAATTGTTCTGAGAAATATTTGAAAATTTTTCAAGAGTTGACAAGTTTACGGATTTTACGAGATTTCCAAGAATTGTATGGATTGGTACATTATGTGCATCAAACTCCCTACCGTCCATATTGCATAACAAATATTTAGGCTGATTGTATATAAGTTGAAAATGTTGCATTTTCTTCAAACTTTAGTTTTTGGTACATATCCACCGGTAATTCTTATCCATCACAAAATGTTTTCCCTTTACCAGTCTGTTCATTCATCTTATTTCTTAAGCTGAATCATCACAATCAAATTGGTAGTTACTGTTCCTACAATCTGGAAATAAAAACGTTAAAATGTATGTAAATGTGCCTTTTAATTAAAAATTCCCTGAATTATTTAATCACGGGAGCAATCAGACCCAGATCGACCTTGAAGTAATCGGTGTTTAAACAAGTCTGCTTTAACTTGAGTTTCCTTCCATTCCAAAGTCGGATACTTTTTCTCCCATCGAAATCTTACAAGTTGTCATCCCCCTCTAATTTTTCGATCACTTTTTCGCTCCCATTTTCCAGTTGGGACCCCTTCTTGCAAAGCATCCAAATTAGATAGGAATACGCCAGGACGGTCGCTGCATCCGAAACGGCCCCCCGCACGTCGGGGACCTACGATTAGAAAATCCCGCCAAGAAGTACGAGCAAAGGATTATTCGCCCAATACTGTGTGTCATATCGATGACGATGCAACCACCGAAAAGATGCATGCATGCAGGATGCCACGTGGCGTCTAAGTTGGGTATAAATCTGCACTTTTAGATCGACCGAGGCTGGAATCACGGTGTGCTTTAAACGGTTCAAAATTTCTAAGTAGCAGGATAAGAAATGCGTCATCATGAACGGGAAGATGGCCTGGAGGTAGCCCAATGTTGACGGGATGACGATTTCGAAAACGGACGTTACAGATTCTAAAAATAATTGGAGAGTGAAAATTGCAAATTTAAAATTTGCTCAATTTTTAACTCAATGTGTGCAATCACAAATTGTCATGAGTTACGGAATTCATTCACATATGTACACACGTCTGATAAATTGATGATAAGAACAAAACAAATAAGTATTGAACAGAATTTTAGGATTATTATCACAAATTTGACCAAGTATCCATTTCGAGTTAAAATCGAGAATTTAAGAGGGTACAATTAGCTCAATTTTTAATTTATTGTGCGTACTCAAAAATCGCTGTGACTTACGGCAACGTTCGCAGCATATTTCGCAAATTTAAGATTAGAACATGACATGGAAAGAATCATGAAATTAAATAGCTTTCACACAAATTTTAGTAGCAAAATTTAGGATTTTCTTTAGAAAACTTAACTGGGTATCTATGTATGTAGATATTTCGCAAAACTATTTATCCCATAAACTCATTAAACACGGCCCATAGAAATTACGGAAATTCGTGCAAAAAGGGTTATTATCTTGCTTTGCTTTATTATCATATTTTGTAAAAATCCAGTCAGGAAACAAATATTATATTTTAAAGTTTGCAAATTTGCTAAATGAGGCACGATGCTGAAAAAAACGTTGCCGTGAGTACGCCCAGTGCAAAAGCTTTGCAATCCCTTTCGCCTACTTACTAGCAGCGCCATCGCCTCTGTTCGGATTTAGCAAGTACCCCTGCCACATATCCGCAATGAACAGGACGCACAGAACGATCCAAGCGATAAAATCCTTCCCAATCTTTCCAACAGATTTTTGCCCAGGGTAAAACCCCAACTGATCAGAGAGCTTGATAATTTCCTGAAAATCTTCCCAAAATTTGGTGAGATCCTCCCTCTTCAAAAATATTGCTAGTTTTACATACGACGTGGCAAAAATATGACAAAACGCTTTTAACGTCATAACAACAGTGGAATAGAGCCTGTTAGCTTCGGATTGTCGGCCAGCCAGGGTCATCAAGTTGGTTTGAGGGTGCAGTATTTTTGTGTAAATGACAAACAGAAATATATTTCCGGAAATGAGAAGAAAGTGGAGAAAGTAGACGAATCGTTTCCATTTGCTTTTATTGCACGTGAAATTATCTTTGTCCAGAGAGTGAGGAAAGTAGCCAAGAAATTGGGAAATTCTTAAAGAAAGGTGATACATGGTTCGTCTCAATTATAAATTGTGTATTTAATTAAATACACTGTTAAAATTCTGGTATTTACATATTGCTCGGTGTTAAAGGTGCAACGGCTCGGTAATGAAATTATACCAGTCGGTAGAATTTCCTACCGATATGGTAAAACTTTAGTATGTACTGAATAATTGCTACACTGTATTACTTACTAATCTTAATTTCTTGTGGATGGATGGACAGATATATTCAAATTCTATTCAGAATTTATTTCGTTATCTATTCGCTAAACGGATGCAGACCGAGGAATAAATTGTACCGGAAATTAATGAAAAAGGGATTAATTATTAAAAGACACGTGTACATGATGATGTAGATATGCATTTATGCATGGTAAACAGCAGCACTGTGGATGATTACTTGGAACAATTTACATCAACAAAGTGTGATATCAACACAAAACTATACAATTTCTCTTTTTTGGCTGTGCTTATCTTCCTCGTCCACCTGCGTGTGAGGATGGTAGATAAAAACCAGGCCAAATGTAACACAAAATCATTTCCCATATTTCGCAGGAGAAAGTGAGACAGAGTGAGAAAAGTGGTTGGCGGTGGGTATCCACCACCATCGTGCGTTAGGATCGTATGCGCGATCCATTTTCTCACTCTGTTTCTCTCTCTCTGCACTCATTAGTGGCCAGAGTTTGTTATGGCTCTTGCTGTATAAGCCCCTCCCTCAGAAACTTTGACCCCAAAAAAGTCATGGTAGCGGCCATTTTGCAGCGGACCACAAAAGCGGAAAATGTAGCACTTCTAAAGGAGAAAAATTTGGCATCAGGTTGTCAGCCGCAAAATGACCGCTAAGGTCACTTTTTTAACGATTTATATGTAGGTCGAAAAACCGCCAATTTTCGAATTTTGAAACTTTTGATGCATCAAAATGTCCGTATTCATGGGGAAATTAGAATTGCAAATGCAAGTTGGGGTCTAATTCTTGCTGTCCCGAGTGTACATTGGATTTCTCATTTTTCTCAGTTTCTTTTCTCAATTTTTAAAAGGGGGGTGGTTGAATATAATTCAAAAATAGCTATGGTAAATTGACGGTTGTACCCGGAACTCTACTTGCAAATTTTTATATTTAATTCGAAGAAATCGATGCAACGTAGAATGGAACATTTCCCATAATACGTCTCGGTATGTTTAGCCTCTAAAAGTTCAGGGCCACCGTGTGCGATCAATTTGTGTAAATTTAAAAATTAATACTCTGTTGAAATGAGAACATGACATGAAGAAGAATAAGCTTACCGAAAGCAAGGGTCACATTTAAAATAAATGCCACATCCTCAGAATCCATGCATTTTTCTTCAAATAAAATAAAATGCGTTGAAAATTGTAAATATAAAATACTAAAATGGGACGCGATCTTTCATTTCATCTCAATGCAAGAGTCATTCAGAGCGTTTACTTCACGTCAATGATTTTCCATTTTTGTGCTCGTTTTTAGCATAAATAGGGGGAAAGGAAGGTGTTCATTTGTCAAGGGCCATACCACGTTGAATGCACCAGTTCTCGTCCGATCACTGAAGTTAAGCAACGTCGGGCCCGGTTAGTACTTGGATGGGTGACCGCTTGGGAATCCCGGGTGCCCTTGGCGTACAATTTTTGGCAGATTTTTTTGCACTATTTTGACTCTAATATTTGTAGTCAGCGTACTACTGGCAAAGTTCTTAAATCAGTTAAAAAAACTTGCGGGCCTCAAACAATTTACAGGGTTCGAAAAATATGATTTCGCAGTTTTTCAAAAGCGATTCTGGTATCTTGTTTTAATTAGGTTTCCTGGATCAGTGTTAAGGTTTAACACTAATTATTCAATAAAATTGGCAAAAAACTGAATTTGAGCTTATTGATCGACAATATCAATGTAATCATTTTTATTTTTGAAACGATAAAAGTGATCTAGTTTTATGGAGTATCATTTAGACATACCAATTTACATACATGCATATTTTAATATGACGTAGGTACATAAATCAAGGATTTAACCAGCAAATTGTAGACGCAAATAGAAATTCATAGCACTGGTATTTACACATGGTAACGTATAACTTACCATATGGCAGTAACTAATTGGCACAGCAACAAACCCATTTTTCTAAAATTATAAATATACCACCTAACCACGAAACCATACTATATCAAGCTAAAAATAAATATAAACTGTTGAAACATTGAAACGTTGAACATATAT